CTCGGCTACGAGCTAAATGTTATTAAGTTGGTGGATGATAGTGGTACACAAGCACCAGTGTCTTGCCTTGAACCTCCAAGCTGCTGGTTTAAGAGCAGAGAATTCTGGAGTAGTTTGTGTGGTAAATAACTGGCAGTTGACACAAAGCTTTCTATTGAATCCTGCCTAATGGCCCTGACCAAAGAACAAACAAGCTGTGTGATGGCTTCTAACTGCTGTTACAGTTTTTTGGGCTTTCAAAAAAAGATGATCTTGTATTTGCTGTTAAATTGAACTAAAATACATATTCATCTTTTGTTTTTTAAATGTGATACTAACTTTTTTCCCCCAGAAGTAGAAAGTGTACTTCTTAGTCTAATCTCTGATAAGCCTAGTGAAGCATGGGAGCTTTGTTGCAGAATTACGTTAAAGTTCTTGGCCACCCGTAACGGGTAGTGGAAGTTAGAACCTTGACTCGTGATTGCTGTAAACAAACTCAGGCAAAAAAAGGGAGCAGGGAAGATTTCTCCTTCTTGAAAAAGGCTTTTCAAGTCTGCTGTGTTTAAGGCATTTGAATGGTGCTCAGAAGAACAGGTATCTTTGTGGGGTGTGGGTTCAGAACTGAACCACAAATACCATTTATTTGTGTCCCTGGTGTTCATGGTAGGGATACAGGTTAAAATTTAATCCTAGTCAGGAAAATGTAACTTGCTAAGGGAAGAGTTTTGCCAATGCTGCCTTGCTGTCATCATTGCTACTGCTAGCCTTAGCTTGGACTCCAGCCATCTTGAAGTAGGGCTGATAGGAGACATATCTGAAGTCACAGTACGGACTTGGCTTTGTGTGGCTGCTGGAGTGAGGCTTGGGGTTTTGAGCATATGAACTGTTATTTTTCAGTCCTACTATTTTGACCGGGATGATGTGGCTCTGAAAAACTTTGCCAAATATTTCCTGCATCAGTCCCATGAGGAACGTGAGCATGCTGAGAAACTGATGAAGCTACAAAATCAGAGGGGCGGACGCATCTTCTTGCAGGACATCAAGGTGAGGAGTGGAGCTACGGGTTGTCCTGTCTAATGCAGAACTAGACTTGTGGTCTGTCTCCAGGCTGGAAGGGGAGGAATTTTCCCTGTTGGTTCTCTCCCAGAAGGAGCAGCAGCTGACAGTAGATAAGCATACCGCGTTGCTGTGACCTGTGCATGGCACTCAGCCCAAAATCTAGAGATGTGTAGTAATTTGATATTATGTGGATTGGCTAACAACAAGTATTTCCCGTGTAAGAAGAGGATGCCTAGCCCTAGGTGGTTTGCTGTGGTGTGAGGGTAACTAGAACACAACTGGTTCATCTACCTTAAATTTAATGGCAAGACCCTTCTCTGTTCTCTGCACTGTTTTGTAGAGAACTCTTGCCTCGCTTGCCATGGGAATATGAAATCTCAAGTTTTCAATTGCTTGTTACGGCTCACTGCAAGATTTTATAGCACTGTTTTCGTGAAGTTGCTTTAATTAGATTATTTGGAACAGCAGAAAGTGAGCAACGTTGTAGGGCCAGTTTAACGCAAGACAGCTCTTCATGCGGAAAAGGCAAAGTAAGCGATGGGCACTTGAGAAGAATTCCCCTGCTTACTAGTAAGTCTGAGTACTTGTAAACACTAGACTCTATACGAGGCGGTTCTGAGCTGAAGACTAGACTTGCCTGTACTGGTGTCTTAAAGGCTTCATTTCTGAGATTGTGCCCATTACCTACTTAGATAAGCAGATGTTTAAGCCGTTAGGTTATAATGGGAGGAGGGAGACTAGCTCTGTTAGCTGTCTTGCCTACAAGAGCTCAGAGAACATAACATGAGGAGAACCTAGGGAATGGGGACAGGTCTGGGACTCGGAACGTGCATTCAGTTCTGTTCAGAGTCTGTGCTGTGTGCGTGCCAAATTAAAAGACTTTGATCCCTAATGGTCTGTGGGTACTTACAGAAAATACGGTCATGTGCTTTCCCCTTCTAGAAGCCAGATCGTGATGACTGGGAGAATGGACTGACTGCAATGGAGTGTGCCCTGCACCTGGAGAAGAATGTGAACCAGTCACTGTTAGAACTGCACAAATTGGCAACTGAAAAGAATGACCCACACGTAAGTGGATGCTGAAGCTGAGAATGTAGCTGTGCAATGAGGGGACTTGTATGTGTCTAATTGTGTGGGTTTGGGGGCGAGTTGTGTCCCCCTGACATTACTAAAGGTGAAAAAAGAGTGTGAACTAGTGGTGCAGCCCTTCCAAAGGGAAGGGCCCAGGTGTCAGCCTGTACCTTAGCTCTTTGGTAGGGATATTGCCGTCTTTTTCCAGGAGGACCAGTTGCAGCATGTTAGGGTGGCTGAGGCCTGCCTTACAGAACAGTGGGTGCATTGCTTTGTTCAAACCCTTCTGTTGCTCTTGGGAACAGAGAGCACTCGTGAACAGCATTTTGAAGAGAAGAAATTTATTAATCTCTATGGAGAAGGCTTGTTTCTGTGGGGGATGAGTTCTTGCTTTAAACCAATGGGTGCCTGTAAGGCTTTTTGTCGTAACGTTTTGGAGTTGCTTCTTCTGAATGTTAAAAGCCCTGACACTTCAGAATGCAGTGTCTGAAAACACAGGTTTCTTCACAGGTGGAAGTTATTGGCAAGGCTGGATTGAGGTTTCTTAGTATCAGGAAGAGATTAGTGTGTGTCTGAATCAAAGTACTCTTGGGGGTGTCCTGCATAAGTTAGAGGGACTTTTTTGTAAAAGAAACAACATAGCTGGACCATTCTACAGGTGTAAATCCTCATGGTCATGAATTCAAGTGCTGTGCAGTGGGGGGCTTCTAAATGTGTTCGGAAATGTGCCTGTTGCTGCTTGTAGTGAGGAAGAGGGGGGGACTTCATGAGCTGACATTGTACTGCAGTTCTGGAGCAAGTGTGCCTCACTTTGGTCTTGTTCTGGCATTGCTGAGGCAAAACTAAAGGCTGCTTCTTCTCGGGTATCTTTTGCAGCTTTAAAATTGTCGTTTTGCATCTTTTCCCTAGAGAGGATTGGTAGAATTTCAGATGCTGCTTCAGCAGGATAAGCTGTGTTCAGGCCTACATTTAAACTCTCTTGTCTCCCTTTCAGTTGTGTGACTTCATTGAGACTCACTACCTGGATGAACAGGTGAAATCCATCAAAGAGCTGGGTGACCATGTGACCAACCTGCGGAAGATGGGGGCACCAAAATACGGCATGGCAGAGTACCTCTTTGACAAGCACACCCTAGGGGACAGTGACAATGAGAGCTGAAGTCTTGCCAAGAGCCACTCTGTGGGTTTCAGTGGGACTCCTACTTTACTGTCTAGCCATGCATGCATCTTCAGCTATTTAGATAAACAGTTCTCATACTCTGTACCAAATATCACCCCTCTTTTCTCTTGTGTTTTGTGTGTTGCCCTCCATCCAATAAAGTGACTTGGTTCAAGCTGGCTTTTTCTGTTTCTCTTGGGAGCGAGAGGCCTGTACTTGCAGGATTGTGCTCCATAGTCTGTGTTGTGACGGTCGTCTTAAGTTGGGTGTGGATGAAGGAATATATTAGAGGGATGAGGTTTACTTAGCGCTTTTTTAAAAACGACTTTTTTTCCAATCCAGTGGGATCCATTGCAGGAATTGCTCAGTGACTAAAGTTGTGTTTTAAATGCCTTTGCCACCGAAGCGGTTGCTGTAATGGATGCGCAAGGAAAGGAAGGCTTGAGTATCTGGGCTTCCTGAATTGGTCCCTGTGAATTTAGGTGAGGCAACTGAAGGTGCGCGGAGGGTGTTAGCGCCTCACTAGGCATCATGTCTAACAAATGGCACTACACTTGTGTATGGAGAAAACGTACTGTGAATCAAGACTTCAGAGCTGTGTACTGTAATCGGGCTTAGACTCAAAACAGTGGTGCTGCAGGGGCTGCCTCAAGGACACTGTGTCAGGAGTTGCAGCGGGTGGTGGTGACCTCTGCCTCAGTCTAGCAGCTGTACTTGGAAGGCGGAGGGTAGGCAGCTGTTGTGAAGGCATTGGAAGGGATGTGGGAGGTAAATTTGTCACGTGCCCCCTGTGATACGGGAGATTTTCAGCTGTTTCTGAAGACAGAAGTAGGAAAACAACTGCGGTTTCTCTAAATTCCTATCGTTGACGTAGAAAATAAAATGAGGAAATGAAACAGATGGTCCTGGACTTCAGCCTTGCTTTTATTTTCTTAGGGAAGACAGGATAAAACTCATAGCTGTATGGTGTCTGCTACCATCCAGATGACTTCTTCTCTGAGCGTTGTCTAATCAGTGGCAGATGTGATGTGGAACTTCAAAAGGAAGCAATGTGCTGGGCAAATACCATTGGCTGCAGCCACCTGTTCTGGTGGACGCTTGCCCTGCCTTATTCCGTTACTTTTCCGGTACTGGAAAACACCAGTTAGACATGACTTTGTGAAGCACTATGGATCTGCATCACAAATGATGTGACTTGCTTCAGTCCCTTACTTTCCCTGCAGTATCTTGTCAGTAGTGCAAGTGCTGCCTGAGACTTGTAATGGGTCTTGTGACACGTTAACATAAAGCTCAAGTTCCAATCCTTGCTGTGATGAGGAGGGGGGAGGTATCCTTATTAACTATATTCCTCTTCTGTTTTGGGCTACGCCTGCACTCCAGGTTCTTCGGGCTGGTACCTGCTGAGCTATTGCTCTGCTGTTCGGTATCTGCAATACTGAACACTCAAAAGTCTTATTTGTTCTTTTGCTACAAATGTAGAGGGGTTTTCTGTTTGTTGTGTTATTGTTGCAACACTGAAGTTGTGCCTGCTACCGTACCTGAGGCCGGCAGCAGTGTGTCATTAGTGCTGGCTTTAGCCTAGGCTGGGCTTTAGCTGCATGTTCCAGCAGTAGGTGGTTTGGCTGCACTGCCCTTCCGTCTGGGTGAGTGCCAGCGTGGCCAGGTGTAAAGATACTGCAGTGTCACTAATATGGCAGGTATCTCAACAGGACTGTGTGTCTCTTGGTCTCCTCTAGCTGTACTGATCTATCTGCTCTTCACACGTGCTTTCACTGGTTTCCATGATCACCTCCATCAGCCCCACGTAGTCACCTTCGGCTAGAGAGATGCCAGAGTCATTGGGGGATGGACTCTCTGCTCGTCTTGGCTCTTTTGTAGGGGGAGTACTGGCGCTTCCATTGCCAGTATCTCTTGTGGTCCTGGAAACCTCTGCTGGATGCTGGTCTGGAGCGCTGGCTGTATCTTCTAAACTTAGGCTGCGAGCATCGGGGCCCATGTTCCCCAGGTGGGATCTCTCCAGCACTGGAGATGTTACAGGAGTGAATGAGAAGCAGAGGGAGGCACTGCCTCCGGGGGTTTTGTTATTGGGGGTGTGAAAGGCACTTGAATGCTCAGAATTGGGGGTGGCTGATGCTGTGTTCTCCAGCGTGAGCCAGGGTGGGTGGGAACCTTTCAAGCTCTTCAGACTCTTAAAGCTGCCCTGCTTCTCATGGTCTGGGGACTCAGCCAAGAAGGGGAATTTAGGGCTGTCTGATGCTGTGGACTGAGCCCCTGGACTTCCCGTGGTGGCAGCTTCTCTGCTTTTACTGTTAGAGTTGCTCTTTTCTTCTACTGTTACAACCAGCGAGTCAGGACCTTTGCTCCGATCTGTTGGCCAAATAAATGTTTCCTTTGCACCTGAGCCAAGGGAGCTCTGACTCTTATACATATCGCTGACCCTGGAAGGTGAGGAGTTGACAATGACATCCCTAAGAGAAGTCGAGCATGCAGCGATGCTGGAGAGTGCAGGAGGCTTCTTGCGGCCTTGACGTCTAGAAGGGAAAATCATGGGGATAGAGCTGATCGGTGTCTGTGGAGCACTGTAGAAACCAGGTCTCTCATAAAATGGGGTTGACATGAAGGCGTCAAACTCCCTTAGTTTTCTGTCTTCGCTGTCCCACTGCTCCTGTGAGCTGGAGTCTCCCCTTGGCTGATTGATGCTGCAAGGGCTTCCAGACTTGCCCATGTCTTGGTATGTATAATGGGAGAAGGGGGATGTGGGGTCTCCTCGCCTGCGCAGCAGGTTCATCCGGGAAGAGGACCTGGAGAAGCTCGGTGACTGGACGCTGAGGAGGCGGCCCAGGTGTCCCAGTAATGGCGTGGAGTGGTTTGCCTCCTCATTCTCTTTAATTTGCTCCAGGGGCTGGAACTCCATCTCTTCTTTCTGCATGCTGGGGAAAGGCAAAACGGGCTGTTACACAGTCACAAAAGAAGGTGGTTTCTGGTGGAGAGGCTGGCAGCACAGGGAGTGCTGCTGCCAGTGGCAAGCCCCTCTCTTCCTGTATTGCCATTAGATACGTGTTAGGCCCTCCACAATAGGGATGCTCGTAGTAGAGGGGAGGGGGGCAAGAGATCAGAGGCATCCTTTTCCATGGAGGATGTTGGCTATCATCTTTGGATGAGCCTAAAAGTATCTTGGATCAAGATTTGACAAACTATGGAGAAAGATATTACTGCTCGCTCTTACTCCTGAAGTATAATACCCCGCACAACACCTGATCCAAGGTGTAAATGCGGACTGTTCTGATACTCTCTGGCTGCACTCACCTGATATCAAAAGTTGAGCCAAGGAACGATGGGCGTTTGTACTCGGCAGTGGCGGCAGTGTAGGGTGGCTGGGGATCGGGCTCATTCCAGTATAGGTCCTTCTCCAGAATGGGTAGATCCTGATGCATCTCATCCACTGCCATAAGGGAGACCTGCAGGGGACAGCAGAAATGTCATATGGGGTGAGCAGCATTAGGTGTGCCTATTATCGGCAGACAAAAGATTGCAGGGCAGGAGGAAGCAATGTAGCACAGAAGCGAGGCAAGTGGCTGGGTTTGCTATGTGGTTTCCTGTCACTTGGGTTGTTTCTCACACGGAGAGATTGGATTAATTGGAAGGAAAGTGATGCCGAAGGAGACGGGAAAGCCATACGCTCACCAGGACAGAAGGGCTGTGTTAGGAAGGGCTGAAGGTGGAGAGTTATTGCAAGGAAGAAAGCAGAGGAGGCAGTTTTAGATACAGACACAGGGTGGAAAAGCTAGGGAGCGGCAGGAATGATGTGTCGTTCAAAGGTAGCGAGGGCATGAAACTAACAGTCTGGATCCATCGTGTGTGCCAGAGCATGGACTAAAGCTGCAGTCGGTCTCTGTGTACAAAGGTATGCCAAAAGCCCTGTCTTCCCTGGTGTGGGGGAGGTCTTCCTGGCACAGGTCTCGCCCCACATTCTTCCTGGAGCCTGGGGTGTCTCCTTGGCTGCTGAGAGGGAACACTGAGCTGGCCCCCTTCACCCTCGTATTTGTTGGGAAGCCTTATGCTCTCCTCCTGCTCTCCTAGCCATCTCCCTCTGGAGATCCTGGGCCCCTTCTTAACATGCAGCCACCGACGCCTCAGGAAAGTGTAAGGGTGACAAGGACGGCTTCTCTGCCCCATAGCAGGCATGGAAGGTGGGAGGTAGAGGTGTTGCAGGAGAACTTCGTGACGGCACTGATAGGGCTTGCTAAACCCTCAGGTGCAGTCCTGCCTCAGTGTCCCTTTGCAGGTCAGGCTCATTTGGAGGATCCTCCTCATCTGGAGGATCCCGCCTTCACTTTACCTGCAGGTTCCTGTCGATGAGCCAGTTGGTTTCAAAGTCGTCATCGTCCTCCCCAAAAGGGTTGATGAGTTGCTCGGCCACCTGCACGTAGAGAGTGCATAGCAAAGGTCATCATGGTCGTATCTGCCCCTTTCCCTGCAGGGAGAAGGCCTGTGGGGCAGAGTCAAGTGTGATGTCCCTTGAATTTGGAACAATGCTGTTCCTCCCAAAAAGGGATGGGTTAATGGAGGCTTGCCAGTGGCTGGGGGACATTGGTACACACAGATAACTGCCCCTTGCTCACGTAGCCCTCCTGCAACTGCAGGAGGCTTTACCACCACTGCAGGTAAAGTGTAGCCCACTGCCTCTCTTTTTCCCCAAACTAGTCAGGACCAAAGCTTTTAGGAAAGGTGGAGCTGATCTCCAGGGTGAGACACTCAGAAACTGAGAAGGTCTTGGCAATACCCTCAGCCCCTGTTGGCTTCCCATTTGTCTGCCAGCACCTGGCGTATTGCCCATAGGCCAAAGAACACAGCTGGGTCCCTGGTGAGTGCACACTGGGGAAAAAACCTTGGTTGGGTCAGATTCTAGCTCCAGACGTATTTTCTTGGACTTACCTTTAACCAGCCAGCATAGAAGAAGAACTGCAAAAACGTAAAGACGGGCACGAAGAGATCTAGTTCGTGGCCAGGATATGCTTTTTCTGGATCCAGGAACTGCCGCCCGATCAGACAGGCCAGGAAGAAGCTGTAAACAGCCACGGTCACCACCTGGGAGAGATGCCAGGGGACACACCAGAGGAGTTTGAGTTCTCAGCTTGCTTTCCCAGCATCTCTCTTCAGTTCCACCCCACACGACTTCAAAAGAGCGGCAAGCTGCTGCAGAGCTGCTGGCTCTGTAGCCTTTTGAAAGCCTTGGATTCAGTTACGCCAGGCTTCCCCTCTGCTTTTTGCAGGAAGATGCATTTCCACTGCAGAAAGCTTTAAGTATGCCCGTTGCCCTTTAGCTGTTACATACGCTGTATTTCATTCCACGCTGTTCCTGGAATAACATCTGTGTAGGTGTCACAGAAAGATAGTGGCAGAAGAAAGCACGTGACATCCTGGATGGAAAGAGCTTAAACAACTGACACGTGGCTGCACGGTTGTTCTGCTGCTGAAGTAAGGGCTGCTGTGACCTCTTTTCATTCTTGCCCTCCCGAAAGCTGTCTCGAGCCCCTCATGGCTCACTCCATGCTGGCAGGCCACTTCCAAGTCAGGGAGGGGAACCCTGGCAGTGCTGCCAGCTCTGAACTAGCTCCTTCCTTCCTGGTCCTCATGCTGGGCCTTTCTGTATTTGCCTGCTTGCTTGCCCAGATTTCGTTATTGCAGCCTGTCAGTACTTAAAGGGGGCTTATAAAAAAGATGGCGGCAAACTTTTTAGCAGGGCCTGTTGCGACAGGACAAGGGGGAATGGCTTTGAACTAAAGGGGGGGAGATTTAGACTAGATATAAGGAAGAAATTTTTTACGCTGAGGGTGGTGAA